GAGCAGGAAGAGTCTAGACCGAGAGGATGGAAAGTAGGGAAGTAGTGCTATGAAATTCTGACTTCTAGATACGACATGGCTGTTGTACATATTGATTCAAAGCTTCTGCGGTTACCAGCACTGGACCCGTACAATATCAGCATGGTTAAAAACCCCACCATGCATGGGGAGAGGCTCCCAGCCTAGCTACAGGGAGTCAATGGCTTGTGAGTTGGGGTCGGACTTTTCAGTAGACTGACTGCTCAAGCAATGCCCCCCACGAAACCCATCTCCATGCAAGAAACCCCAATTAAATGTAGTGAGTCATACACACACACACACGCACACACACACACACACACACACCATGAAACAAACTCGGAAGAGATTTGGTGGGGAGGCGAAGGAGATAAAAGGATAATGGGGAGTGATTTTGATAAAAAAAATTTTTTTTGTGTGTGTTTGTATGTGTGTGAAATTGTGAAAGAATGGATAAATTTTGAAAGAAATAAAGGTAAAAAAAGAAAACAGTGTTATGGGAATGGAATCACTCACTATGCAAACTTGGAGGTTATCTTTTCCACTGGGCTTACCTGTGCAGTGATCCATTCGGGCTGTTGAGTGTGTCATTAGCTGGGTTCTTTTGATTGCTGACTACTTTTCCAGGGGAAGAGGGTACCACAATCTGTTCAAACATCCACCACTGAACGACACCTCTCTTGTTTCCATTTGAGGCTATTATAAATAACACTTCTATAAATACTTATGTAAAGCCCTTACTTTTAAAGATGTATACTCAAATATTTATGGATGGATAAAATGATGTCTAAGACTTGTGTGCAAAAAATTTCAAACTTGATGAGATAACAAAAACCATGGACAAATAAAGCAGTCTGAGGCTGCGGTATAGCTATGTGGTGAGAATATCTGATTTTCACAGGGGGAAACATGGGTTTAGCCACTAATGGCTAAATAAATAAATGAATAATCAAGATCACCACAAGTTTATAAGTATACACAAAATCATCTATACTTTTGGTATATTTGAAATTTCCTAAAACACAGGGTTTAAGAAAATAAAACAAACCACATACACGCACACACAAACACCTTTAAGCAAAAACTGAATGTCTGCTTTTTTCTTAAAATCTGTGACCTTAGCCCATGCTAAGATCACAGGACTTCTTTGCTCTAAAATACAGAGCCCAAGCCTTCAGGGACGGTCACTGTAACATTCGCTTTAGCGATTTAGGCAGATTCAAGCTAGGTACTGGTTAACTTTCTTTAGGGAGTTTCTATTAGGCTGCGGAGTTGAGATAATAGCAGTCTGTGAGGTTGACAAAGGCAGGTGAGTAATCACCATAATCAGATGTATGAGATTCATGAGTGGCTTGTCTTCAGAAGAGAGGGTTCATGTCTGACACGAACAAGCCCTTATCATCAAGACAAACGCTGAGAGAACAGAAGTGTGATTACTGAAGATGAAGAGGAACAAACCATATGAGCACAATCAGGCCTGGAAATGAAGGGAAACACAGTTTATATTATGCAAAGGCTGCTTTTGTTTTTAGGGCACTCGGGGGGACAGGATATCATTACAGTATTCTGTCTGCAAGCTAATGACTCTTTAGTATAATTCTGCAAAACGGTGTCTACTATTTGGTGGCACCAATACTCTCTCAGCTTACTCTCTTCTCGGGTTGTAACACACCCTTCCTCTCTGTCCCATTGCGGACACCTTGTTTTTCTCTTATAAAAATGCAGATCTACTTTCCCAAAGATATCAAGCAAAGAAAAAGATAAATACCAACCTGTTAGCTGATATGGGATTAAGAACCAAGATCTTAAAAAAAAATACATATAACGTCTTTCAAATGCCAAATGGCTTCAAATGAAGTTTTCTTGCTTAGTCTTGACCACTTAGGCTGGTGCTTTGTTAAGTGACTCTAAGTCTTAAGTGGAGACATTACAAGCTATTTAAATTACCCACAATCAAAATCCCAATAAAAGAAATCCCAAAAGTCCAGTTAAATTTTATAGTTGGGCACACAAAATATCCATTAAGTGAGTCCCATGTTAGAAATAACAACACTTGCTGTAATCAGATGTGTAACATGACAGCGCTAGGACAAGTGGGAGAAGGGGGCATTCAAATGTCTAAAAATTAAAACTAGAAAATTCCTAAATACGGTGCACAGACTGGTTCATTTGATTGTGTAAATATCTTAGATATTCCAGGAATGGAAAGGGATCTATTGGTAACAATGGGTTAAGAAACCAAAGAAAACATGGTTGAATTAAAAGTTCTAATCCTATGTCACAAGCTATAGTAGGGGCATGTGGAATTAAAAATATAAAATTATACAATGTACCAGGAACTATGAGTATGTTGGCACTGAGATTAATAACAGAGCCATTAATGAGGAAAAGGAAGAGGACAGGAAAAGAATCAGGAGCATAACTAAGGAGCAGCTAAGTACATAGGGGCTCACAGAGATAACCAGGAAGTCTACATGGGACTGACCTAGGTCCTCTGCATACAGGTGATAGTTGTGTAGCTTGGTCTTCTTGTGGTTCTCTTGAAAGTGGAAACAGGGGCAGTCTCCAACTCTTTGACCGGTTTTTGGGACCCTATTCCTCATACTGGGTTACCTTGCCTAGCCTTAATACATGGAGAGGTGCTTAGTCTTACTGTAACATGATATGTCGTGTTCTATTGCTATTCATGGGAGGCCTGCCCTTTTCTGAATAGAAATGGAGAAGGAATGGGGGGGGGAACAGAAGGCGTGGGGGAACGGGAGAAGAGAAGAGAAGGTAAACTGTGTCAGGATGTAAAATAAATCAATAAATATTTAAAAAAGATGAAACTAAGTAATTAAAGCTGGAGTGGTGGAGTACACCTTTAACCCCAGCATTCAGGAGGCCAGCCTGGTTAACAGTAGTGAATTCTAGGCATGCCAGAGCTACATAGTGAAATCTTGCATGTGTGCGTGTATAAATACTAAAATTAAAGACATATACATTTTGAATATGATCTTCCTACATCTTTGCCATTTTTTTGATACCTAAAAACAAACATTTTCTCTGTCCTGTGGTTTCTGACTCCATCATGTACATTTCTGGCAGTGTGAGGTCACTGACAATACTCAGTTGAAACAGCCTTCACTTTGACATACTCAAAAATTAATACAAATCAGTTTTCGTTAACAAGATGGTCTTGCTCCAAACCCATGTGGTTATTCTAAATTGTTGTTATTATTTGTGCGTGAGCACAGATGCACACACTGTGACATGCATTCCATCTTTTCACTAGTGCTGGTGTCAACCTCAGATTGCCAGGCTTGTGCTGGAAGCACTTTTACACTATAAGCCATTGCACCAGCCTCATGCAGCTGTCCTACTTATTTATCAAATACTGTACTCACAGTAATCACACTCGTACCCAGCCTGCAGACCCCGGAATGCAGAGAGAACTGATGTAGTTTGAGAGAAAGAGGAGTTACCTGCAGCCATGCCCAAGAACGATTTATGTTGGCAGGTAAACTGCCATAATTGTAATCAGAGCCGCCCGAGGGCATAGTCTAATGACTGATAAAGCCATTTTTTATTCAAAGGAAGCTTTTCTTAAGTTAAACAGAGACTTAGAGAAATATTTTTGTATAAGTAAAAATTACTTTAAAGATCATGATGGCCGAATGGTGGTGGCGCACGCCTTTAATCCCAGCACTCGGGAGGCAGAGGCAGGTGGATCTTTGTGAGTTCGAGACCAGCCTGGCCTACAAGAGCTAGTTCCAGGACAGGCTCCAAAGCTACAGAGAAACCCTGTCTCGAAAAAAACCAAAAAACAACAAACAAACAAAAAAAAAAAACAAAAAAAGAAGAAAAAGATCATTATGTTTGCAAAGTGATAGTATTTTTAAATTTCTAAAATTATTAACTACCATTTTGTTAAGAGAGCAGTAGCAGCATGATTGATTGACAGACCTGTTTCCTATACTTTTGCAAATTTGCTTTTATATCTCCTTTTGTAGATCTATTTTCATCTTTTGCACATTGCAAACCTATTAGTAATCAAGAGTTCATGTTTTCTCTTGCAAATGCACCTACAAGTAAAACTGAGAGGTAATCACAGACAACGAAAGCTAAAGCACCGATGTGTCAGGTCAGTCAGGCTACACGGTGAGACCTTGTATGAAAAGAATAATAAGAAAATTGAAGACACATATTTTGCATATGATTTTGCATCTTCCTACACCCTTTGTTCTCTTCCTTGACACTGAAAAGCAAACATTTTCTCTGTCAAAGGCACACGTTTCTGGGTGTTCAGTCCCTGCCTGGCTGTGTGTACACATGTGATTCAGAGCTCCAGGATCCGCCTGTCTCCACTGCAACACTGGGGCACAGGATGCTGGAGGTGCAGATTCACGTTTTTATGCTTGCAGAGCACTTTACCGAGTCATCTCTCCAGAGAACTTCCCCACAGGCTAGTTCTAGTTTCTTCCCCCTTCTTTTCTTTCCTCCCTCCCCGCTCCCTCTCTCCCTCCCTCCTTCCCTTTTCTCTTTTTCTTCCTCTTTGAGAGAGGTTCTCACTATGTATCCCTGGCTGGTCTCAAACTTACTAAGACCCTCTTGCCTCTGCCTCTTGGGTGCTGGAAGCTCCTGCTTCTGAATGTGCGTCCTAACAGATTCTATTTTCACATATGAAGCAAATTTTTGTTGGCCACCTAGTATACACTAAGTACTATGCTGGTCCTGGAAATATGATTAGGAATAAAACAGAAAAACAGACATGGTCCTACTCACAATGGAGGTCACAACACTATTTTATAAAGAAAAACATCCAAATACATAGTTCAAAATTATAATAAACCCCATAAAAGAAAACGTATAGGGTGTTATGAAATACCCATATAGTAAGGAGGATGTGGAGGACTGAAACAGGGAAAGAAGCAGATAATGGAACTAGATGAAGAACTGAGCAAGGGTGAGGAACCGCATCTGCTAAGGGGAAAGACTCTGACCTGCTGGGTAATGGTGTCCCACGGTCCCTGCAGCAGTCGTGTCTTGTAGCATTCGTGGACTCCTTCCCATATATCCTTCAGAGCTAAAGGTCTCCCATCTGTGAAGGTACATCATGAAAGACTGTTAGTGACCCATGAAACACGATGGTGCTTGGTGTTGCTCTAAAGTACCAAGTATCCTGACTTCCTGAAAAATCTCCACGGGTTTACACACACTTGCATATCATTTCTGTGTGAATCATTATTCTCCTACTGGGGGAAGAATACATGTCCAAGCTTCTCTCCTTTGTATTCACACAGCAACTAAGATTCTGTCTCTTTATTACCCTTGGGAAGTTTACAAAATAAATAAAAGCTGAACATGTTTCAGAGATAAGTGACAGATACGAGTATAAAGGAAAGTCCAGGAAATGGACACTTTTATTGCTATAAGTCTGCTCTGGATGCTGTTGGAGTCCTCATGATTCCTCTGGTCCTCAAAGAAACCACACCCCTGCCTTTTTACTCTCTTATTGAATAACAGAATGTCCAAATCACTATACTGCACGTCAAGGAAACAAAAAGGAAGGAAAACATAATTTCTTGCAGTAAGTAGCTTACCATTTACTGGGGAAACCATGAAAAGTATATTAATATCTTAAAATACTAAATAAAAAGAGGTTCCTGTCAGAGGAAATCTAGTTAGTGTTGGAGGGGACAGAGGACAGAGACACTGGCAGACAGTTACAGTGGTAAGTGAGAGAGGGGGTGACTGGTGAGGAGAACCCCAAGAGGCTAGCACGCAGAGATCAGCCAGGAACTTCAGCGAGTAATAATCCTCCCTCTAGTCACTTAGGAACTTTCATTCTCTCTCAGAACTTGGTGCCCATTCAAAGTGTTTTGTGAAGACCAACATGGCACTTATAATGCACACAGATAAGAGGGAAAATAGGTGTCTAAGTTCAAACTCAAGAAGAAAGAGAGTGTTCAAAGATTTTTAACATGCACTGTGGAAAGGGTGTCCAGACACTAGAACCTAGTATTACTCTGGCCGTTCACAGCGGTCAAGGTCTCAAGACAGCAGATAGGTCTTCTCCTTAGACATATGCCCAATTTTGTCTGAAGAGAACACACCATATCTTCAATTACTGGGCTCCAGGGAGTGCAATACAACTCAGGTAAATACTCTGCTCAAAAAAACTAAAGCTCACTGTAGCGTACAGACTCGGAGTCCCAGAAGAGATGGAGCATGTGAGAAGTAGCAGGCTTAGAATCTGGGCCATGTTTAAACATGGGGTCAGCAGTTGCTCTGGGTGTACCTCTGTCACCTTACTTTATAAATCCTAGCTTCTTGAGACTCGGTTACTTTTCCTATAGTGGAGGACAACAATCCTTGCAGGAGTTTGTTCTCATAAAGTGTACATGAGTGATCCTTCACAGGACTGTGTTAGGAAAACAGAAAATGCTCAGTAAATACTCGGCACCTCCCAGCCCCTGCTCTGTAATCCTCAAAGCTAATAGATCCATTCTGAACTGTTCTTCCTAGCCCGTCCCATGTTTCCACACCATGCACACAGCCTTTGATGCAGTGGTGTACAAATGGTATAAGCAGGGCATTTCTTATGTCTGACCTGAAGAGTTGAACTTTCCCTCAACCTTTATTTTCAATAAATAGCACTGGAATATTTTGATACATATTCAATAACTATCTTCATCTTGGCATTTATCTGGCAGCAGGAGACCATTATCTTGTGATAAATAGTTTTATTCCATTGACATTTCCATGTCTGTAAAATGAACAAGATTTATTCATCCAATTAACATTTGAATGTCATGTTTAGCTACAAGTTGAAAACAAGCTGCCTTCAATATCTGTGTTATATTGTTTTCTGAACACATTTACAGAGTAGGCCAAACTCTGCTCTGAAGATAAGCACTACACATCTTCAAAACACGTGTGTGTTGATTCTAAAGAGGAAAATACGATCCGAAGTACTGCAGCATTGGAGAGCAAGTTCACCAATCAAATTACAAAAGATGACATGCTTCCAAATAATGTTCATGTATCAAAATTAGAAGGAATTAGTAGTAGGATAATAAAATAAGCTCTATTAGGGTTACTAATTTCAGAAATAAGGTGGCTAACACCTTGGGTGATACAAATCTCCAAGATTATTCTGCCCGTTCATACCGGAGACGCAATCAAAGGCCGGGCTTCAAGATTCATAGTCCGGCGCTCCTCTTGAGCCATGCGTCCTCTGGAGGCAGTGATGCTGCAAATGCTTTATTTATATGCATTAAAAATGCTAAGTAAACAATACCTTCCTTATAGCTAATCTTTTCGGCCCAAGAGAGGAAAGCTGGATTTAATATCTACTAATAAATAATAATTTAAATATTCAAATAGTCAATAACCTAAGCCTGATTAGCTTATTGCCGCTGTCAAGAGCCTGCCTACTCACTTGGCTGGAAGTGTTCATGCAAGAGTAGTAACGAGCAGCCTGCAACAATATTACAGGAAATATTACCGGATTTCCATCAAATTTGATTCTAGGATCGAGAGCTAGTGCTTACATTTTCATACCACATCAAATCTAGAAACTGAAAAGAAAAACTTGGAATGCAGGGATTAAAAAGCAACAGTCAAGCAATCAGAAAGGTTAACAATGAGTTCAAAACAAATAAATAAGGTGTGCTTTTACTTATCTCGAAAATGCATGCTATTAAAACGAGTAAGAACTTGTACGGTTTCAGAGGCGGGAAGCTGAGGAGCCAGAGGGGATGACTGACAGCAGATCAGTGTCTTCCAGACACAGCAAGACTGGTCCCCATATGAACTCACATAGACTGCACAGGCTCGAGCCAGATGGGCTCCCAGCGTGAGATGGGGAAGTGGACACGCTCTCCCACCCATACCAAGACTCCATCTCTACCCGACAACTGCTCACCAAGGAAAAATTAATTTCTCTCCCAGAGTTACCCTGGGTATACAAATCACACTTCAGACCCCATGATCAGCAGCGACGGCCACAAAATGGGCTCAATGGTGTTTCTGTGGATGTTTTTTTTTTGTTTGTTTGTTTTGTTTTTTTGGTCTCATGTCCCTCTGTGCAATTTTTTTTTTTTTTTACTTTATGGTCTTTTGCTTATCTATTAGGTTCCAATTTTTGTGTTTTTATGTTTTATGTTTCTTATGCTTTTTGTTTCTTGTTTTTTATTTTAAAATTTTCCTATTTGTTTTCTAAAGACAGAGAGAGAAAGAAAGTATAGAGTTGGATGAGTGGGGAGGAAGGGAGGATCTGGAAGGAGATGGGGGAGGAGAAACCACAATCAGAATGTATTGTATGATTTTCAATAAAAGCAAAGAAAGAGAGAAAAAAGATTTTCTACGGTTTTAGCTTTTGCAGCTTTTTTAAAAGATAGTAAACACTGTGTTGGTAGTGTCCACGCTCTTTTTATGACATTTAATAGAAACAGTGATTAGTACTAACATATTTCTCTACATCCTTGATATTAACTTCATTCACAAATTACAGAATGACTGTAACACTGGTACAACATTCGGTTAGCATGTACAAGGAGCTGGGTTCTAACCCCCACACTGATACATCTCCAAATGTTTTCTTTATTTCACACATAATGAGAAAAACCAAAAACCCAACATTCCACATCTATCTTTTTCTCAGCTATTAGTCTCATAATAAAACTATGGTCTGTCCCGCAATTCTAAACTTCCTACTGTATGTGCTTGCCTTTACATTGTGCTATGCTAGAGTCTAACTTCAAGCTTCCAACAATGGCCTTTGTTACTCCTCCAAGCTCTAGTGCAGAGTGTTTACTCCCATAAATTTCAAATACAAATTTATGCGTTTTGTATTGAACCACCTGTAGTTTTCCTCTCCACACAGTTAAATCCAAACAAAAGGATTTTGCAGCCCCTTCTGACCAGCCTATCTGTCCACTGTCCTTCTGTCCTATCTCCCACTGTCCTCCTGTCCCATCTCCCACTGTCCTCCTGTCCCATCTCCCACTGTCCTCCTGTCCTATGTGCCCACTGTCCTCCTGTCCTATCTCCCACCGTCCTCCTGTCCTATCTCCCACTGTCCTCCTGTCCTATCTCCCACTGTCCTCCTGTCCTATCTCCCACTGTCCTCCTGTCCTATCTCCCACTGTCCTCCTGTCCTATATGCCCACTGGCCTTCTTCGCTAGGACAGCTCTTAAGGAAGGCAGTGAAACCACTCACCACTGTCCCAGTCAGCCCTCTGCACTGCCGGGCTTCCCTCCTAGCAAACACCACTCTCTGATGTTATCTGTCTTACACATTTCTCATTTCCTGCCTTTCCTAACCATGGTGCTCTATGCCTGTGAATCTTCACCATTCTTATTCCTGTATGGACCCTGCCACCTAGACCAAGTCATCCATAAAGGTTTCTTTATTTCCCACACTAGTTAAAAGCCATCTTTGTGACTCAATTGGTTATGCCATATTGTATTCACACCACATTGTGATTGTCTTATTTACTTAAATATGGAACTACTATGGGGTTGGATGGGGGTAAGGGGAAATGGAACTACTGTTGGTCATTTAAAATACCATCAGCTTTGAAATGGTACCTGATACAAAGTAGACACAAGGAAGCCATACCAATTTTTTTTCTTCTTTTCAATTATTTGCTTTTGATAAATTTCCTAGAATGGAATTACCAAGTCAAAGTGAAAAATAACTTTTAATTCAACACAGAAGAACTAGTATCTCACCCCTCAATTTTCTCCTTAGGGTAATGAGATAAGATGTTAATTTTAGAAACAGATATTTATATTATTTGGCACCTACTATATGCCAAATCTTTGTGATACATCAGTTGGCAAAACGACATCTTTGAGGGAGTTACATTCTAGCCAGAGGGCAAGGATGTGACAATAAATAATGAACATCATATAGGAAGTTAAGAAGCAATGTATATTACAGCAGAAAGAAAAGGGATGCTGCAGAGCACCAGACAACGGGCCAGGGCCAGTTTTAGACCTTTGCGGGAGGGTAGCTTGGAGAGCAAACACTGTCTATGAGCTCCTGTGACACCTGGGCAAAGGGAAGGATGCTCTGGGGAGAAGAGAGGG